GACCGTCCTAAGATCCGTGCATGGAGTCAACTGAGATCCGTCTGATCTCGAGGTCCATGTTCTTTCTCCACCACGTCAGCTTCACTTTAAGCTACTGTTACCCTCTATGCAAATAAACAGATCCCTTTAGCTCTCTCTTGGCCATGATCGACTTCCTGTATCTCTTCTTCCGTTGCCACCAAAATGCACTCATTTGTTCACACAGAACTCCCTTTATCTTTTCCTCATCTCAGTGCAGCATAATTGGGCCTCCCAGTGATTCACTTGTTCATCAGCACCATTTGAGCACCTCCTGTTTCCAGGCAGCGGAGTAGACGCCCTGGAATAAGCCTGGCCTGAGAGCAGCTTCACAGCTTGTAGGCTGAGACAGATCAATTGTTTCAGTGCACTGTACCAAGTGCCTGGTATTTAGATCCAGTGGTCTCTCTTTAGACTTTATCTTACTTGAACTCTCTTGTATCATTTTTCCCCAAGAGCAAGCATCACTGTTAAGGAAATTTTCTCTTTTCCCTTCTTCTGTGGTATTCCTCACTCTTGGCTTTCTTCTTTGCTTGTTGTAGAGTTCCTTTCACATCTCTCTTATTTTTCTTCCCATGTTCTCATTTTAAATGTCTTTCCAGCCACCTACGAGATTTCTCCACTTAGGTGTTAAACAGACATTCAGGACTGCCCCCTTCTTTCCCAATAAAATGTTATTTAGCTAGTTGCCTTTATTAAATATTGACTATCTTAGGGTCATTATCTTCCTCTCACAAAAGGCCTGGTCTTCCTCTCACAAAAAGACTCAGGCATTCTGCTTCAAAAATCACATTTATAATTTGACCAAGTTGCTAGCGCCTCTGGCGTTAGTTGTCGTGCAGCATTAACTTCATTCTCTGTCTGTAGGCATCTTATATACTTTAACAGTGATTTTTTAGAAGTTCTCATGGTATTATTACTTTACTCAATAAAATCATTTAGTGTCTTTTCTGCTGCCTATCAGATCAGGTTCACTTGCATAGCCTGGCTCCCAGAGCTATTCACCATCTGCTCCCGATCAACTTTCCTCACCTTCTTTCCTGTTCAGCTGCGGTGCTTAGCACAGAGAGGACACTCACTGAATACTGGATGGGTGAGTGGTGCATAAAAACTCAACTTTTTCTCTCCCAAGGGTAGTATGAAATCCCTCTTATGTAAGTATGATGTCTGCTAAGTTTACTTCTCAGTAGTTCCCATCATTTTTAAATTATAATGGTCTAAAAATTAATAATCTGTAAGCTGTTTTAAGAACTCTGTTTTAAAAATTCATTAACCCAGTGTATGTGTTGAATTGTCTTCCCCCGAAATTCTTATGTTAAAGTCCTAATCCCCAGTACCTCAGATAGGGTTTTTTAAAGAGTAATTAAGTTTAAATAACGCCATTGGAATGAGCCCTAATCCCATATGACTGGTATCCTTATACGAGGGGGAGATTTGAACAGAGACATGCACAGAAGGACGACCATGTGACAGCGTAAGAAGACAGCCCTCTTCAGGCCAAAGGGAAAGGCCTCAGAAGGAACCAGCCTGCTGTCACCTTGGTCTCAGACAGTTAGCCTCCAAACCTGTGAGAAAATTATTTCTGTTGTTAAAGCCACCCAGTCGGTGGCTTGCTAACAGCCTTAGCAGACTAATACACCCAGTGCTTTTAATTCACTGAGGTGTTAACATCCTGTGTTTAGGGGTTTTATCCTTAGGAAAGTGATGGACTGGGATCTAATAGATCCTCTCCTTCCATCTCAGAATTCTTGGAGGTATTTTAAATTTGTCCTAGGCAGAGGGCCATCCTTCCTTTTTTCAGACTAGATAACACTTATGATCGGCTACCAGTGAATGGCTTTTTCATTGCCCTTTTGGGATTATGTATCTATTTCTCTTGAAGATACAAACAAAGCAAGAAACCATTAAAAATATAGTTAATCACATTTATTGCATTGATTTAAACAGATAATGAATTTGATATTTTCCAGGCTCTTGTTTTAATAGCTAGAGTACAGTAAGTTCTCTTTGCAGTGGGTAGCTCTGCCAACTGTAGCGTTAGATTTCCAGAGAAGATATTTGCTGCTGTGAATTTATGTGCTGCACAGCAGATCTCTTGAGGTTCTGGCTGTGGGGCAAAAAGTACTCTGAATCACTAAATTTGGTTTACTCAGGTTTTCCTAGTCGTATTTCAGATTAGCTTGTAGTCAGCCTCAAAATGCCTTTCCCTCCATCTCCTCCCCATCTTCTGTCCAACTCCTCAGCAGTGGTTGTAGTTGAAGTAGGAAAATTAAGTATGTTGAGTGAGTTAGAGACTATATTAGAAAAGAACATTTGCATTTACTGACTATCTGCTCAAACCAGATCTCCCCAGATTAAATAATCATTTGACTCATTAAAAGACCTGGAAAAGGTTGATCTGTATGCTTACCTGGAATATTATCATTAACATCTCAGGTGGATGTGAGTCGATTTTATTTTATAAATCCGGAAAAAGAGACTATAATTCCTTTCTAAGAGCTCATAGCTTATTTTCTATACCTACTGTGGACACTTCATGCTATAATCTTGAACTTGTTTCATCTTGTTCTGTCTAGTGTAAGGGTAGACAGCTAATCACCATGTATAACATCTCCTATTCTTAAGACATAAGGCACTATTAAATTGCTTTTCTACCTTCTCTTTTCCAAACTGAGCTTTATTGGTTCTTTAGCCTTACAGGACTTACTTAACATTTTAAATTACGTATAAGACTTGTCATTAAAGCCACTCCATTTTTTTTACAACTCTGTTTGCTGGTGGGTCCAGCACTGGTTGAGTTTCATCAGTGCAATGAGAACACAATCAGTTCCTTCACTTCGTACTATAAATATAAATTTAGGCATTTTGGTTTTATGCTTAATTTTATTTTTTTAGCTAATTAAAATGCATAACAATTAAGCAAAAGAAAATTATATCAATATGGAGAATTTCTTATATCTATCTTATAGTCTTAGCATTGCCTCTAATTGGATGATAGTAGGTAAGTCATTTAACTTTTTTCTATGTCATTCTATTTGTTTATGAAATTGGAGAAGGTAGATGTCAAGACTAGATGATCTCTAAGTTGTCTTCCAGCTCAGAAATTGTGTTTTATACCTACTGATAACTATTAACAGTTGATAAGTTGTGGATTTTAGTGGATAAGTTTATTTGGAGCAAATCAGATTAATTCCTTTGAAATATATTGAGTACATATATATTGAGTACTACCTACTGTGTGCTGGCAACACAGTGATAAATCAGACATCTTTCAAAGAGTTTACATTTTATTAGGGAAAAGAAACATAAAAATAAGTGCAATTGAATATTACTGGGGCTGTGGAAGAAATCTGCCTAGTGCATATCAGGGCACATGGGAGAGTTTGGTGAATTTTGCTTGGTGGCGGGAGCATCAGGAAAAGGCCGGTGGTTCAAGGGGTCCCCAGTATGATGGCCTGAAGAAGAGCCACTGCAGAGAAGTGGGCAGGCAGCAGCCTGATGGGAGCGGGCCAGGCCTGAGGGGGAGGAAGTAGAAGCAGTGGGTACATTGATTTTTTTTTTTTTCAAGGAGCTGGACATAGAAAATGATGGGAGTGGGCAGGGATTAAAGACGTTGTTTTAAAATATGGATGTAAAGAGCCAGTTTAAGGTTTGGGTGGAAAGCTCTTACAGAGAGGGACATTTTGTTCTGAAGGAGAGGAAGAAGATGGAATCCAGAATGAACTTAAGAACAAGGTTGGGGATCGATAGAGGGCACACAGATGAATAGATATGTGATAAATCATAGCACAGCATTAATTGTGCATCTAGGAAGTAGATGAATGGTAAAATACAGTTCTTTCAAGTTTTCACGTTTGAGAAATTTATAAAAATATTGGGAGGAAAAATAAGCACATAGATTGAGAGTTCAGCATGAACAGAACGGGGGGCACTTATTCCTGTTGCGGCAGCAGGTGGTGAGGTTCAAGGCGAAGGCCTCGACTTCTCCTGTGAAGTCAGAACCCCTCTCAGCTGCTGAGGCCGAGGGTCAGAGAGGAGCGGGGAGGGCGGAGGGCACCGGGCGGACCTGGGCTGGCGCGCTCCTGGTAAAGTGGAAGACGCGGCCTTGGGCTGGTGCCATTTCTCTCCAGTAGTTGACAGAGATGGCGAGTTAGCAGGCACAATGGAGCACTGTCAGCCACAGGAAAAGAGGAAATATGTGCTGGCTGCCTTGGCTCAGCGGTCAGAGCACTGGCCTGAGCACTGAAGGGTCTCAGGGTTCATCCCAGTCAGGGTCGCGGACCGCCGTTGCGGGCTTGATCTCGCCCCGGCTGGGGCACGTGCGGGAGGCAGCCAGTCTATGTGCCTCTCACATCGCTGTTCCCCCCCTTCCCCTCTCTCTCTCTCTCCACTCTCAGAAAAACAATGGAAAAATATCCTTGGGGGAGGATTAAAGAAAAAGATGAAATACTGCCGTTTGCAACAACATGGATGGATCTCGAGAGTATGATGCTAAGCAAAATAGGAAAGGGGCAGAGCCATGTGATTTCACTCATGGGGGACGCAAAACATAAAGCGGCAAATGAACAAACAAAAATAAACAAAAACTCGGCGGGTGGGGTAGGTTGAAGAGGGTAAAGGGGTCACATATATGACTATGAAAGGAGACGGAACTTTGGGTGTTGAGGACGAAATGCAATGTGCAGATGATGTATTATCGAGCTGTGCACTCGAAACACACATCATCTTACTAATTAACATCAATGCCGCCCCAATAAATTTTACAAAAGAGGAAGAAAGCAGTGGGCAGGTGGGATGAATGATTCCCTCCCTTGTTTCCCGCGGTCTGTTCTGGTACAAGTCCCAGCCACTTTGGTTCTCTGTTTGGGGGATTCTGTTTCCTACCTCATTATATTTTTATTTGAATGAAGTGAGATTAAAGTAATATTACATACTATGTTATTGTTAACATTTAACTAAGATAATTTTATTGTCTTTGTCAGGTAAAAGAAGAACGTCCAGAAAATATACCAGATCTAAAATTATTAGTGGAGAAGAAATTTTTGGCTTTACAGAATAAGAATTCTGATGCAGACTTTCAAAATAATGAAAAATTTGTGCAGTTTAAACAACAGCTGAAAGAACTAAAGAAGCAATGTAAGTCAGTGTGCTTTGCTTTGCTTTGGCTTTTTGAAATTAGGGAACTGACTTGATGAACAGTCCCAGAAAGCTTATTTAATGAAGTTTGCTTATCTGCTTGGCTTGATCTTTCTAAATAGCTTTTTATTGTTGCTGCGATTATGTGTTTTGTCTAACTTTTGGTTCAAATCAGCCTGTCCGTTTCTGAAAGCCAACAGTTTCCACAAAGTGCTAAGGAAATTCCCCACCAGCTACAGAAATTTACAGTGTTGTCCCCCTGCTGGGGAGGGGAATTGGGTGAAAAAAAATAAAACTGAAAATTATTTTATTAAAATAACAAGGGTGTTTTTCACATTTTAAACTGCTGTGCCAAGCTTTAGGATAACTAGACTTTGATTCTAGGTTTGTTGCTTTCAAGTAGCAGAAACAATGTTTACTGAGACTTTGTTTTCCTTCTCAAATATGGACCAACTACCCTCGACCCTTTTCTCTGTTGTGGTATAAGTGTCAAGTGATTCGAAATGTGTTGCCTTCCTAACCAACTTTATTGTGCTCAGGCTTTTTAATTAATATAATTTTGATTTTAAAATGAGAATGGGGAAAATGATTTATTATATTAAAAAAATGTGTAGACAGTATTTACCAGAAATAGCACATCTTTTCTACACAGTGAAGTATACATATCCTTGTTTTCTTTTTTCCATGTACCAGTTTTATGTAATTTAATTGTTTGCACCTTAACATCGATTGTCTTGTTTCTTTTCGGCTTGTATTTTTTATTTTATCGCTTCAAGAGTTGAATAGTGAAGCAAGTCACTTTTAAACCGTGCTTCACATCTCCTTCATTTGCATGCACATGAGCAAGGGGAATGTTGCGATATGACATACACAGTTATTTATGACTGTTTGTACTGAGTATAGGGATTCATATTTTGAAGTAGGCTTTCTTTTAAAATGAGCATTTTCTTTAAATTGATGCTGAGATATCAAAAAATAACTGAGGAAGCTGCTTTACTTTTGTCTATTTTACAAATTAAGTTTCACAATTTGGAATGTTTTGCAATCATGGTTAGACTTTTGCTTTTACTGTAGATTTAGACAGTAAGCATTTCCCCCACATTTTAAGTCTATTTTCTGTTCTTCATTGAACATCACAGCTACCAAAATCTTTCTAATATAATTTGCACTGTTGCCCCAAATGGGTAGTAATCCCCAAACAGGTAATAATTTGCTAGTGGCTTTCTGATCTTAAGGATGCTAGTGAATTTCAGTTTGAGTGTTGTTCAAAATAGCCAAATGTGTTTTATTTTACTAGTTGGAGCCCAAATCACAGATTATGGCAGATTTAGTATCTGATCATAATTCCGGATTTTTTAGATATTTTATAATACAGATTGAAGGATAAATATCTAAAAATATACATTTCTTTCTTTTTCGGTATTTACAAAGTTATTATCCCATAAGAGAAAACTAAAGATTTTTAGAGTCATTTACTCTCATAGGGAAACGCTTTCTAGTTAATATTTAATTCAACAAAATGATAAATGTTGGAAATCGTAGTTATTGTTTAATCCTCTCTAAAATTGGGGGGGAGGGGGCAAGATTCCCCAGGCCAGCAGTACACATCATTTGTATAGACAGTTAAACCTTATGACAAAGTCAATTTATATGGAAAGAAATGCTTCCTTATATAAGGTTTCCCTATATATGGTAACACTGAAAATAAGATAACTTTCCCTTTTATTTCTCCTAAGTATTCTTTTAAAAAGTTTTAAAATCTCATATAACCCTCTCTTTAAGATGTGTATCCCTTAGTTGCAAAATACAATTGACAGTGCATTATTATTGGCACTGCCAATTAAACATGCACCAGTTCTAGTGGATTTTCTTTTTTTAGATTTCATGCTGCTATGAGGATGCTGATTAGCATCAGGCTCCCACAATTTTTGTGGAACCAAGTCAAAGGGACTCTGATTTATAAAGGAGTCGGTGAAATCTGTTTTGAGGTGTGTTCTCATGGAGGCAAGGAATTACAATAATTTCTTAAGATTTGAAAATACAAGCCAAGGAGAGTTCCTTGCATCAAGTTGCCTGTTTTGGCAAAGTAAAGACTGAAGCGTTTTTGTGGGTGGCACATTTCTGAAGGGTTCTTTCATGAAGATAACTACCATGTCTTCACTAACTTCATTATGGAAGAACATAAATTGCATGGGATTAAATTTTATCAAATCAGGATCTAATCAAAGAAATGCCAGGAAGCTTTTAGCGGGGGAGAAGTCAAGATGGAGACTGAAATCAGGTGGTCTGTCTGTTGGGTGGACCTGGGGAAGTGCTGGCAGGAATGAGTCAACCAGCTATAGTCAGCAGTTAGTTCTCAAACTGTCTGCTCTCAAGATCCCTTTATGTTCTTAAAATTACTGAGGGCCCCATACAGCTTTGGTTTATATGGGTTATAGCTATTGACACTTATCATATTAGAAATCAAAACTGAGGAATTTAAAAAACAGTAATCCATTTTTAAAATTGATAATTAACCCATTACATGTTAACATAAGTGGCATTACGAGCATCTGAAATATAGTAATATATTTTCTAAACATAAATGAATTACTGAGAAGAGTGACATTGTTTTACTTTTTTGCAAATCTCAGTTTCTGGCTTAATAGGAGGCAGGTGGATCCTCATATTTGCTTCTATATTTAACCTCCTATAATGCATAATATGAAGAAAATCGGGCCTCACATACAGGGAGTTGGACTTGTTGACAGGATTCTGCAGACCACCAGAAATTCTCACTTTGAAAACCAGAGTTAGGCCAGGGCTCAGTAAACTATGGCCTGTGAGCCAAATCTAGCCTGCCTCCTGTTTTTCTATGGCCTGCAAGCTAAGAATGGCTTTGATAACTTTTAATTGGTGGGGGGAAAATGAAAAGAAGAGCTATTTGTTGTGATATGTGAAAAGGATATAAAATTCAGATTTTAGTGTCCTTAAGTGAAGTTTTATTGGAATACAGACACCTTTATTTACGTATCATCTTTTGGCACCTTACACTGCAATGGCAGAGCTGAGTGATGCGTCAGAGACCATCTGACCCACAAAGCTTCCCCTTTCAGAAGAAAGTTACTTATCGCTGGTCTAAACCATAATTAGAAACAAGGGCAGTTTTTTGTTGTGGGTGTTTTGTGTGTGTTTTTTTTTAACTTAAGATTTTTCCATACATGCCATACATTTGTCTCAGGTACGTTCAGAATACTTAGAGTGCCTACTGTATATGAATCATTGCAGTTGATATTCTGCGACAAATCAAAGGCAGAGTTCCGTACTTGGAGAAGACAATATATAAACACTTGAAATAATGTGAGAATCATTAATAACCAATTATCAAATCAAAAGCAAAGAAAGGATGTCAGAAACAAGTGTAATACAATGTGGGACCTAAATGAAGAGAGTCAGGGTAGGAAATCAGGTTTTATCTGGGTGGCTCATATTGCCGGTCAGTTGATAGGGGCTGCCTGGAGCTGTATGTTCAAGAAGATTCTGAGGGTAGGTTCAGGCCCAGCAGGAAAGAGTGTGGGAAGGATTACAGTGGGAAGAAGGCAGTATAGATACCTAGTATTTACTATCCCTAGAATACAAACAGAGTAGATATACTATACTCATTTGAAGGTATGATTACTCTAAAGGTAATATCCTTCAGTAGCACACAGCATTTTTTTAGTAGTTACTTATGTCTTATGGATATTACCAAGCATTAGATTCAGCTTCTTTGGACAAGTCATTTTACCCCTGGGTACCAAGTGCCCTGTATATTAGAGATATTATGTCTGCCCTAATTACTTCTCAGTGTTATTATCAAGATCTAATGAGATAGTGGATCTTTGCAACCTCTAAAGGCTTACTTTAGATTTAAGTTATTACTGAGAAAGAGCTAGAACAACATAGTGGAAAGAATATGGGCTTAGCAGCGAGAAGACCTTGGTTTGAGTCATTTATTATATAGCCTGGTCTTCCTGTCGATGTCACCCATTTTTCTTAGTTCTGATTCTTTGAGTCATACAGATCAAGATTGACTGAAGATAATTTATATACTTCTAGACAAGATGACTATGGTGGTGGTGGTGGTGGTAATAACTGAGTTAGGGAACAATTTCACAGAAAAGAATTCCATTTTCCTAAATGACAATCATGTTCCTACTAACCCAAGTCGTGAAATAAACAGTATGATTTGGTTTAAGGCAGACATAACCAGACTGTTTTGGATGAAATTATTTTAATTTATCTAAACAGTATGTTCAGTCAATGTTCTCTCTTCCTTGCCTTTTTTACTTAGACTGTCTCCATTATCGCAACTTAAGATTTCCTGCAATTTTAACATCAGGAGAACTTAATTAGAATGTGTTGACACCTCTGTATAGGCACTTTCTCAAGTCATCAAGCAATCTTTCTGGTGTCCTTTATTTATTTTTCTATTATATGATTAGCAGGCATCAGAAGTTTTTTTTGTTTGTTTTTTAAATATATCTTTATTGATTTCAGAGAGAGAAAAGGAGAGGGAGAGAGAGAGATAGAAACATCAGTGATGAGAGAGGCATTGATCGGCCGCCTCCTGCACACCCCCGACTGGGGATCAAGCCCGCAACCCAGGCATGTGCCCTGACCGGGAATTGAACTTCGATCGCCTGGATCCTAGGTCGATGCTCAGCCGCTGAGCCAAGCCCGGCTGGGCGGCATCAGAAGTTTTAGTGCATGTCAGCAAGGCAGAAGTCGAGGGCATTAGACAAGAATTGTTACTTAGAAACCTTCAAAATATAAGGGCTTTGCATTGTGGTCAAAATAGTATTGACTATGAATCAGAGATCTTTAGTATTGAAATAACCTTATATAAAACATAATTTTGTTGGTACTTTTAAATGTTAAGAGTAAAGGAAAGCATATCTTTTTTAATGTAAATTTGCTAATTTGAAGATGTTCACAGATTTAACAGTATACATGTTTAGGTCATATGTGAGAAATGCAGA